AATAATAGTAATAATAGTAATAATAATAATAATTACCATAGGAGTTCTTGATAATACAAAACAAAACCAGACATTATGCCTAGAGTTCTCAAAGGAAATATGAACAGGGCAATTAACGCAGACGCACTCCTACGGCGAATTCTATACTAAAGAAGGATAGACGTAACGCTTATTATGGAGCAGTACAGGAAGTACAAGCTTCTTACGTTGCTTAACGATGCGGCAAGGGGTCGAGGATTTTAGACGTTTCGGAGTGGCCTACAGACAACCACTGTCCCCAACAGTAGTGGACACTCTGGAGTTTAAAAGTTTAGGCCAGTGGCGGAGCCCCTAGTAGTAGTACAATGAATAATAAGTACTACTTTTGGCATTTACGTTATTTGGATTTTGAAATTCATTAAACATTTCTCGTACGTTTACGAAATTCATAAATTAATCTGAATAATTAGGATTTACATTTTTAAATTGTCCACGAAGTATAACTGATTTATAGATTTACAATAAAAGTGAACTTTATGTTACTCTGATAATATTNTAATATTAAAAAAAAATAATAATCCGAATACCGAAAAGACTGACGTCGAACGTGCATTCAGTAGAATCCCTCATTGCTCGCCACAAATGAGAACAGTGACGCTACTAGGAGCAAATAAAAGAGGGCAGAAGGTAGCTTTTGTAAATACTGGAGAGACTGATGCCAGATACATAGAAGAAACGAAGAGGCTGCTAATAGTCCTTACAAGGTGCCAAGTGAGGAGACGAGTTGAAGTCCTCAGATGCTACTGATGTCTGGGGTATGGACACATAGCCCAGAGTTGCAACAAGGAGGACCGGTCAAAGCTATGCTTTCGATGTGGTAGCTGCAATCACCGTAAACAAGATTGCAAGGATGAGGCCCGATAGTTTGCTTGCGGAACAGAAGGTGCCAAATACGGAGCAGGTAGCGGCAACTGCCCAGCATTTAGAAAGGCACTAGAAAATTCCAAAAGTAAGGTGCCTACTAGACGCAGATAGAGTTGAAGAGGATAGAAGCTAGATAACCATTGCAGACCCAAGCTGCGCTGACTTACCCGAGTCATCAGCAAGGGGAAGCAACGAAAACCGATGTTTCCGCAAAACGCAGACGACCAGACGGAATAAAGAGAAGGCAACATCATGATGATAGCGACACACCGATGGAAGGCCACGTCAATGGTCAACATTCCGTGGCTCGAAGTAATAATATGAAAGCGGATTGCGAGTCGAGTGTTCCAGGAGATAGGTCTTGCCAGTTTAGTGGATATTCAGTCATTATTGCGAATAACACCGTAGGAAGAAATAAGCATTCATAGAATTACTGCGAGTCCCACACAGGAAAGGGGTTCGTACCCACTTCTATCGTGCATCAAGCATTCTGGATGACTGGAGAAAAAAAAATAAAAAAAATAAGAACAATAATAATTATGATAATAATAACAATATTGACAATATTAATAACAATAACAATAACAGTAATAATTATAATAATAATAATAATAATAATAATAATAACAGAATTCCTTGATAGAACAAAATAAAACCAGACATAATACCTGGAGTTCTCCAAGGAAATATGAACGGAGCAATTAACGCAGACGCACTCCTACAGCGAATTCTCTACGAAAGAAGGGTAAACGTAGCACTTATGATCGAGCAGTACAAGAACTACAAGCCTCTTACGTGGCTTAACGATGCGGCAAGCATGTCAGCAATCTTAGATCCTACGCCAGATAAAATCCACCAGGACGTTAGCAGAACGGATGACCACTATGCCTGACTGAGGAGTAGAAACAAAACCTGCGTGAGCTGCTACTTCTCGCTAAATACCATTGTCAACGAATACAAAAGGAGAATGGATCACCTTGAAGAAATCATCATGGAATGGGGGTTTAAAGAATTAAAAAGACCGGGTAGTCTTGGATATGGAGGCATGACTAGGACTAGTCGTTGTGAACGAAGAATCCGAAGAGTCGATATCAGATGTCACACTAGCCTCGAAGACTCTCGTACCAAAAATAAAGGAATGGCAGGTGATAGATGACAAAAATGGCAACAACCACCAGTACATCGTTTCTGACATCATTGATGGAATAGAGAGAGGAATTATCACCCTTAAAACAGGATTAAATGTGAAAAAGTTTCGTGTACAAAACGGCTCGTAGAAGAAGTCGAACAAGGTATCGCTGCTATCCATAGAGAAGAGCCGAACCAGGAAGCAGCAGGAGTTCAAAAAATCACGGAAGATACAATATTACTTGTGAATAACGCTTGCGAGGCCTCCACACCCAGAAAAAAGAGCCGAACGAGAAAATTGCTGAACTGGCGTGCCAATATTTCAAACATTTTATAGATACGCTATTCCTAACGTGCCTAGAATTAGAGGATCAAGTGAACTTATAGCATAAAAAGATTTTTCCATATTCACCAAGAAAGCACTGGAGCTAGCAGCAGGATTACTAAAAAACGGGAAAGCTCCTGGGCCAGATAGTATACCCTTAGGTCATGAAGACAGTGGCGGCCAAACATCCACAACTGCTTCTGCATCTATTGCAGGGACTAGACGCGTAAGGCCACGACCTGGGGCGAAGAAGCGCGAAAATTCCCAAAAACAAGCAGCGGTCTTGGCGGCATGGCGAAGGAAAAGGGTAAACCAGGCAGGGGCTAGAGAACATACACGGCAAAGGCATTCGGAGGAAAAGTTCCTCTTGAACCAAATCTCATACATTTGGATGGTTAAGTATCGTCCACGAACTGTTGGCTTTCTTTTTGTATTCCCCCAGTAAATAAGGCCCTCCTGGTTTCAAGCTTCTCGCCTCTGCTTGGTCTCCTTTCTTTGGTGTTCGTAAGTAGAAGGGGCCGTCTGATTAGCAAATGAAAGAAGTTCGTAAGTTTCCTCGTTTCCGTGATGATTCCTCGTCTCCATGATGATTCTTCGTCGCTGAAGCAGTAAATATTTCGTGGTGGCTTCGTAGACGTACTCGTTTTTCTTTGCTAACTGATCTGCCTATCTTTTATTGAGGTTCCCTTTTTTTGTTGTTTTCTCAATCGTCGTACCGTGCCGTCTAGCTCATACACCCTGTTGATTCTGCGACGTGCTAATAATTATATTCCTTTTCTTTTTGTGTATTATAAACATTATACCTAAGAGATTGATAAGTCCAATAGGGTAATAGGTGGGAAGGGGTTCGATTTCTATGTCAAATCGTTATGAGTCAGCGCACAGAGGCAATTGGACCAAAAGATCGTACATTCGAGTATAGTTACCTTTATTATTTATAGTTATTATTTTGCACACTCAGTGTGGTTAAAACGAAAATAGTACTGAAACTTGTAATACATTTTCTTAAATTGACTGAAATTGTGATTTATTCGTACGCAAAACCATGTTAATTTTCTGTATTTCATCTGAGATTTACGTGAGAATGGGCATTTATTCTCATTTCTACATTTATTGATACAGAAGAAGATATAATTATTTGAGATATAAACTTCTTTATAATTTAAACCACTAATTCAACAAGTTTTATTTAAAGAATGAATACTTATCTATTAATTAATGAAATCCGAACTATAATACCAAAGT